GTCCTCGGTCCAGCATTCACGCGCAAGTAGGAGGTTTTAGAGGCATGAGCAACCCGGCCAGAAACCGTGTTGTTGGTGGCACAGGTGACTGTGGCACACCAAATGCTGCCGAAGCCGTACTGCCACCAGTCGCTCCATTACTTTAGCCACAACGCTAGTAAGGCTGACTGGTCAGTGGTTTCCAGGGTTACTCCTATTTCAAACTTTGGGCAGTGAACTAATGACAGCGTCCTTCCACTGCCGCGGTAAACGCCGTTGAGTGAGTGACAAATTGAAAAGGTTGCACAGTGGCGTTGCAAGTTCATCTGCCAGCTCCTTCAGGATCAGCGGATGCACACCATCAGGTCCAGGTGACTGATAAACCTTTGGTCGACGCAGCTTCAGGACCACCTCTCCGATGGTAAATATGGTCCAGTTCAGCGCAGTGACAGTGTCCAGTAGATGTGCTAGTGTGCTGGAATCTGTACACTGAGGCATAATGTGAGAACAACACTTCCGCTTTGTCTTCATCTTTTTCGGCTAGTGCCCCATCTTTGGCGAGAGTCGGGAGACCAGTCGTTGCTCTGATTCTTCGCCTGAGGTAGGCATACAATTGCTTTGGTGCTTGCACTGAATCCGCTGCTGGTCGTTCCTCGAGTCTGGTTCTCTTGCACCTTTTTAATGCAGTACAATGATTCCGAATACATCGGTATTCTCCATATCCTGCGCCTGTTGCACGGTACCTGGACAAGGCTTTATTCCGCTGCCGGAGGCACGCCTGCAGTTCTTGGTCAAACCACGGTGGGCCCATAGCGTGTGTTTGGTGGCGGTGGGGTGGAGAGAATTCCAGTACGAGTTGCTGGATTCTATGGCGAACCAACTCCCAGGATACATACATATCCTCAGGGTTCCGGGAATCCCAATTTGTGAGCGATGCAGCCTGACGCATATCCGGAAAGGATGAGCGCCACACATTCCGTCCGTCCTGTGGTCTGTCCGTTTGGGGTAGGCCACTCCTCCAGTATATGCGCAGAACGGAGTGGTCACTAGATGCAATTGGTGGAAGCAGGTCAATCCCAGTTGTATCTGATTGCCTCGGCGAAAATACCAGGTCAATGATGGTTCTTTGATCCCCAACTATCCGTATGGGCACATGAACATGCTGAACAAGCGAGAGGGAGAGCAGCGAAAAGAAGTTCTCTGGAAAATAAATCTGCGGACTGAGAGCAGATGTCAGTTTCCCAATCAACATGGGGCGCGTTGAAATCACCCAAGACAAGACAATGTCCATCGCAGGCGTACCTCTGTATGCTGGTCAGCAGGTCTGGGACGTACACAACTGGTGTGCGATAAATCACTCCAGTAACACAAAACACAATTTTTATCGTGCCAAACAATCAATTCAATTCAATAATACACTTTGTTCCACAATCATAATGATAATTTTCCCAGTGTCCTAACGGGACCAAACGCAATATAACAGTTTGCACAACAGTATAAAATGATAAATTTTATTGCACGGGGAATGGCAAAAAGTGAGTTGACGAAGACTCTGTTTTAAATCATCCGCGCAACTAAGCATGGGTTCGTAATCAATGCTGGAGCGGGAAAACAGAGGCTCAAAGTTGTTACGAGTTACTAATGTGAAACTGGACTAGGTAAACTAAATGTTGGGTGGGTGTGAATTGCCAGATAGTACTGTTTTATCGCCTTCGCCCAAACATGTAAAGTAAGCGGTTTCGATGAACTCATCATGCATTGAGTAAGAAAACACCACCATTATTGGGGAAACATTTTGTAGAGTGTTTGAATAGGAACAAGAATGGGACAACAAACCCGGATACATCATTATTGGGGAGTATGAGGGTTCAGTGATATAGAAAGCAGAAAAAGATAAATTTCCCCGTGAAGTACCACAAACCCTTTTGGGGAACGCAGTCTGAGGATGTTCAAAGTTCGCGTTTGCACCTTAACGAATATCTTCCTAACATGATGATTCTGTTTAAAATCCCTTTGTCTAGATACGCCCAAATAATGTTAAACATACTACTCTCAGTCTACAGTTCAGTCAGTGATGTTAGTACTGTGGATGTTGACTTTTATTTTATTCGCTGCGGATCGTTGGTCGACCGGCAAAAAACAATTCATTGCATTTCGAGGGTGGGTGAGGGGATCAATGTTAGGACAACAGCTTTTAACTATTCGTTAACCGAAAAGACAGGGGCGTTGAGGAGATTATTATTCGTTGGAAGTGCTCTGAACTGTTTGACCAGATAAAGAATCATTAGCATACTGGAAGCTGAATATAGTTGTGGTACTCGTAAGGTTTCGGAATTATGAAGCAACCCCCCAAAAAGAATGAGTCAACCTTTTGTAGCACACCCTACTTGAGGGGAATCGGTGAAGAACTCTTAGTTCCAGCAAGGCAGGTGAACTACATTGAGTTATGAAACTAGTCACAGCCTTTCCGGATCGGTCAGTGTAAATGTTGTATTGACTTGGAGAATTGGGAAGTAAGATTCCTGTGACAGATTTAAAGGTGTTTTTATAGCTCGCTCCACTCCCCACAGTTGCGCTAGAATATCCTAGCGATTGTTGAATCTGTACTAATTGTAATTACAAAAATGAAGCTGTTCAAGCAATCTAACCAATTTCAAGCGTTTCAGATTCTATTGCTACATAAAATGATTGTCTCACATTTTCCGGTTAAGGGGCATTTTCCATTATCTATCCGTTTCATTTACTAGCACCTGTTTGCATTTTGAAAGCCAATTTATTTATTCCCAAATAACAACTTTCATGTCAAAACTAGTTCATCGTTTTTATTCTATCTTCTTTTGATTCATTCCTTATGGTCTAAAGATTTGTTATTGTTGTTTTGGGACGTATTACTCAGTTCTTAAACATTTAAAATAATTCTTTAATTCCATTTTGCCTGTTCGCCGAGCTTGGCAATTTGTTTACAAACGTTTCACCAAGCCAACGGAGGTGTCAGCATCATTGCTTGTGAAGTGGCAGTGTTCTGCTTGTACCCGTTTGTTTATATAGGTGTTCTTTTCCACTGACTATTTTCGTCCCCTGTTTTCAATGTTCGACTCGGTTCGCCGTTGAACTGGTGCGAGGAGATGAGGGATGAAGAGGAGGTTGTCCAGTCAGGAGACATGATACACTGTCGTTGCTTTCTCAAGAAGGACATCATTTTGGACTTCGAAGCAGTGAGAATTATCGACCAAGCCCGGTCAAAACACGCCAGATAATTTCTCGAGGTTTGGCACCCTTCAGTCAACTCAATAAACAGGTACATCGAAGTGGATCAAGTGTACACGCCAATACAACTCAAGGATCAAATGACGCAACGAGAAATAGGTCACGTCATGACCTGAGAGCGGACGGAAACCGTAATCAGGACGAAAGGACAAACCCCTCTCACCCTCATCCCCGCGCACCAGTTTAACGGCGAACCGAGTCCAACAGAGTAAGAACAAGGGACGAAAATAGTCGTTGGAAAAGAGCACCTATATAAACGAACGGGTACAAGCAGAACATTATCACTTTACAAGCACTGATGATATCACCTCGGCTGATGATGAAACGTTTTTCAAACAAATTGTCAAGTTCGGTGAACAGGCGAAATGGAATTCAGTTCATCCGAGCTAATACAACCGATTTTGAATATTTTATCAATAATTCCTTGAACAATAGACAGACATAAACAAAATCCTAGATTAATATGTACACATGTAAATTGCTCTTGTGCTTATTGATTCGTTTCTATCCGTCAGAGAAAACGTTTTACGCTATAAGGTTGAAGCAGCTGGGTACGAAGGACTGCAATGCCCAGATGTGACGTTTCACTGCAATTAAACAGTCATTCATGATGTACCACCGTTCGTTCAGCTCCGTCTTATGACTGTGAGCCCTTGAATTTACGACTAAAGCTTTTGATTATCGGCGTTTACTTGTTTTAACTCACATCGAATGGATTGTGAACGAGTTAGTAATCTAGAAGTGTGTTTAGGAGCTTATCGGATTTGTAGGTTTTGCTGGCTGGGAACTGTACTGCTGCCGCAGAGCTGTCGTCTATCACACACACACGTCCCCCCGGATGAGAGAAGTTGGTGACTTTAATCGCTTGCTCATCACCGTCTTTTGAATGTATCACTATAAGAGCTCAATAGATCCCGGGTGTTTCATGCGATTCTTATTAGAATTAGTTCTCAACATTGCTTGAATCTACACGAGAAGTGTAACAAGTTATATTGAAAGAATAACAACGGGAAAATATGCATTGTTGCATTTGGTACAACAGTCTCTAAAGTACAATCAAGTAAATGTATTCAAATTGGAGGTGTGCTAATGCATGTTATACTCAAAACGAAACTACACAGAGATGATTGCCGAAAACGAATGTGTAAAACACACAACAGATTGTCAGACACACAGCGCAGATAATTGAAACCTAAATGTGTTACTTGTGTTTTAGAGCTCCACTTGTCCGAAATTATTCAAACGGCCTTCAGGCAAGCAGTATGAATCAAATTGCCACCGATCAATCTCAAATCTCACTGTTTACGGAAGAACAATCCGGTCCCGGTCTAGGTGAACCGTACCAACCCGTGGACAATCACGGGGATCAAGCTGTGGTGGGTGCACAAAAAAACAATCTATTCAAAACGGTTCATTTGAACCGAAGAGATAATGCGGAAAGTAAGTTCAGGAGAAAACTTGTGTTTCCTTGCTGCATCGGTCCAGCATCTGGCGTCTTTTGTGGTTTATCGAATTTTTTGTCTTGGGATTTACTCGGCTAAACTGTATCATGATCGGTTATCAATTATTAATCAACTAACGATCTCAGAAAGAATGTGTGAATCAAAACGGGGTGAGTAAAACAAACCGATTCAAAATATTTTATCCGCTTCATTGGAGTGTATAATGACTATTTGATCCAGTGGAACAAAGTGTGCGAGCCACATTGAGAATACAACACACCCACACACAAACATTCCCTACATGTATGGCGTTCCTTCTGCGTCCGATTGGGGGGTCGACGGTCGCGCGCGGTTGGCTTTAGGAGGTTAAAGTGCACCATTTGACTGCCACTATTCGTATCTCCGCTGATCTTACCCACATGCATGTGATGGGGATGAGGACTTTGATTACTATTAACGGCTCTTTTCACTCATGTTTCAGCTTTGACGGCAAGAAGGTGGTCGTGTTGTTGATTTCAGCCACACTTGTTCTCTTGGTTGTACCGACGAACCGTAGACCTTCTTGTCGTAAAACTCTTTTTGGTGGTGTTGTACTGTTCTCAGTTGTTCCTGTGAGAGTTGATGACTCATTAGTAACGTTCGTTACAGCCTGGCGACGTAGTTGGTAGTAACAAGAACTGATTCCTGGGGTTGCGGTATAGTAAGATCCAGTGATAGTCTCAGTTCCCTGCCAGTGAATAAGAAATAGGGTGACTGGCAGATAGACGTTTGTATTGAGTGAGGCTCGATATGCAAGTAGACACGACCGGAGGGCAGCGTCCCATCTTCTCGTATTTTGTCGACTCACAAATGTCTTCAATGACCCCATCAGTTTGTGGTTTGTTCTCTCGACCAGCCCATTGGCTTGGAGATGATAGGGCGTCGTCCTGGTTTTCCTTATCCCCAAAAGTTGGAATAGATCGGCCACCAACAGGCTTTCAAAACACGAACCTTCATCCGTGTGGATGTGTAGAGGAGCGCCCCAAAATGGTACCCACACGTTGAGGATGGTCTGCCCGATTTTGAACGAATCTGTCCGCGATAGCAGTTTCATTTCGCACCAATATGTAACAATTTCCTTTAGTCGTTTCCGGTAGGGGTACGATGATATCGATTTCCAGTCGCTCATTCGGATAGGCCGCCGGCATTGATGTCATTGGTGCTTTGTTGGACGTCCTTGACGGCTTCATCTGCAAACACAACTGGCATGAGCTGCAGAAGTTAATAATGTCTCGTACCTGATGAGGCCACCAGAATCTTTGTCGTACGGCCGCAAGCCTTTTACTTTTTTCCCACATGCCCGAGCTCTCGGTGTATTTTGGCGAATACTTGGTGTACCGCTACCTGAGGGACCACGATTGTTTTAGTATACGTCGACCCATATTGGAAATACATGACTGAAACCAGTACCGAGAGGTGTCTCCACAGGGTCCAGGCGCACATTGTTTCCCGGCTTCTCCCAGTCATTTCTTCTCGCTTTGGCCTTTGACCCGTCGATACAAAAGTTTGGGTTCTACATCCTTCGCCTGGTGTTATTAATTAAACGGTTTCTTGCGCAGCACAACCGTGAAGACTTGAAATTGCGGAGCTCGATGCACTGGCCGAATGCGAGGATGACTGAAATTCCGGACCACAGCCCAAGAACCTCTGCTCTGTGTGTGTGTGTGTGTGTGACGGGACAGAAAAGCGCCATCTGCGCTGGCACAGTTAATTTCATGATGGCGGATGCGATACCTTTGTCGCGGTTGAAATTAGATGAGCGCAACATAGTTTCGGTCAAATGAAAGTTAGTTTGGTGAAGTTTGGTGTTTCAGCATACGATTCGGCTTCCGAGTAGAGCATTGCGGGATGTATAGCTGAAAGACAGAATCTGGAAAGAATAGATGGAGAAAACCGGGGCAGAAAGGTGAACTAGGTTCAGTATCCATATAGTTATGTTATAATTGTTCCCCATTTCATATATGGTTTTCGGAAGTATTCACAACAGTGTTACAAAACAACGACTCCAACGCTTCCATTGAACAGTGCAAGCTATGCCAGAGATATGTCGACGACATCTTGTGTTTCGTGGGCTAGGAAAGTAACCCAACTGAGCTACTGGTAGTATTCAACTGCGTGCATCTAAATATTAAGTTTCCTCTAGGGGAGAAAACTGATCACCAGATCGCACCTCTCGTTGTGTGCCACAAACTCGATGAAGAGGGGGTCTATCCCCGGGGCTCGGGTCAGTAAATTCTTCTCAAAAGCTTCATATCTCTCAAAGGAAAGCGAAACTTGATTCGGTATCTCAAATAACGCAGTGTAAAAGCATCTGCTGGGCTTATACAGGTCATAACAAATTAGAATTCTTGCAACACAATGGATACTCGGATCAATTTGTGGGCAGCATATTAAAAAGCCGAACAAACGAGGTGGGGGGAAATGTTGGGGTAGAGCAGAAACCAGTTTGCATAAGTTTTAACCCCTTACATTCAACATTATTACAAAGATAGTTAATCAAACGTTAACAACAATGATCAGTCAAGCGTTCCATGCAGCGAAATTGCATGTCACATTCGCATCTAGACCGGCCCTTAGACTGCAGCTCAAAGATAAAGTTCCCTTTTCTGCTATCTGATTCTGCGCTTACTCTTTCACTTGTTCCTGTGGAACAACGTACGTCGATTGNGCGAGCAGACGCCGGACTCGGAGAGCTCGTGAGCATCATCCGGCTTGTTTGAACACTGGGGTAATAAAGTCAATTACGAGCGCAATCTGTTCACGCGTTGTCGAGTCAGGTCATTTAATTGGCATGACTAGGCGCTTCGTCCCCTATACCACGTTTGTGAACAACAATCTAAGCCGATTAAACCGGATTAAAGTTCGAACGAAACACCACACCGGAGGCAGTAGTTACTGGAGATCGAACTCGGAACCTCACAGACAGAATGCAAGCATACAAATAAAAAATGAACAGTGGTTTGATCAGTTGCCCGGTGACCGAAACAGCTTTTTGGGTCATCTAGTTGACTTGATCGAGGCGTTTCTTCCCCTATGCCAGGTTTGTGAACAACAATCTAAGTGGATTGAACATCGCATCCTGGCCATGGCGGAAGCAGTGGGAATTGACATTCACAATCCACCCGTGTTTGCACAAAAACAATTTGTGAAGACATTGTGTCACCCATGGCCCTACACCCAACCAATTTTCACCCGCCCCTACCAATCTTCGGTAAATCCGGACTAAACAACACACCGAAAACGATAGACGTTATCTATATTTTTTTCAAATTTATTCATTTATTATTATCATTTGTTTGTAAGTAATATCTCCACCGTTCCGTATTTTATCCTAGTTATATAAATTGTGCTGTATTAGACAAAGAAGACGACTCCCTGAAAAAAATTCTAGTTTGCTACATTGTGTTCTATTCACAACATATGGTTTTCTTCGAGAGATTTTAGTTCGGTCACGTATCGGGGCTAGGTTAACAGAGTTTAAATGCTTGCCTAAATTGCTTTTGTGCGCTAACTAAGGGGTTTGAGGGACGGACATCTTCTGCCTGCACTGTGGCTGGAAGAGGTACAGTGAGCTTGTGGACTGTCTTATCCTGTGGAGCACGTTTCACTCACTGGATTTCAACCATCATACAAATGTGATCTGTGGATTGGAAAAGTTTAAGCGTGTATCAAAATTGACACAACCGGTACAAAACGCTCAACCGGGGACGTAAATCAGCTTGAGAGTAATCTATGTTCTAACGTTCACGGCAAGATGGGATACAGTATACAAAGAAAAATATGCTTTCGTGGACGAAATAAAGTCGGATACCTGATCCAGCGACCATAAAGGAAATCGTCAAAATAAAAGAAATGCACAGAATTTGGCCTTTAATCCTCGTCTATCGATTGAGTATTCAACGAGCCAGCAGCAACCATGCATTAATAAACATGCCATTGTTCTACAGTCCACAATGGGTTGGGCAGGGTTTAGAGCGACACCCTTGAATCCAAGTGACATTTTGGTCGTTTTTTACCATACTTCGACAAACCTTTATGATCTTCTTTGAGCCGGCTTATTCCATTCAGGGAACCGGATGTGAAGACGTCGTTCCAATTCACCATTCTTTATACTTTTGGGGACCCAGTTTAAGCCTGTGCAGAACCAATCACTATTTGTAATCATGTGTGTGCATACAAAGAACTCTACAGGAATCTCAAAGACAATACAGTCCAACAAGTGGCTCCGGGTCAGACCAGGTCGCCGTTGAATGTGTTCAACTTCTCTTTCTGTATTAAATAAGTTCGGACAAAAGGGTTACTCAAATACACGATCAAACTCACTAAGAAATTGGGATTTCTTCAAACTGTGCTCACAGTTTAGCATAAATATCACTTTTCTAAAAGCCAGACTGAGTGAAACTTGTCACAATTCTCCCACGCGTTCTGCGTGAGGTATGAAAGCTCATTATGTGCCCATATGATCAGTGACTTGGATGAGAACGGAAAATCATCTGTTTGTCTGTTTGCCTGGGAACAGATTTCCACTGGGATGTTGGGGATGAGAATGATTTATTGAAGTTTTGCTTTCTGTGTACGGTTACAATAATAGATCAGTTGCGATTCAGATGAACGCTGGACTCAAACGCGGCACAAGGCCAGATTGCTTCTTCAGTGGGATTAAAGACAGTTGGACTCGGGATCAAAATTGGATTTTATGAATCAATTAAGCTGGCTAATCATCATAGGGATGACTAAGTTAGGTTAGGCTCTTCTTGAAGTCCTTCTGTTTTCTCTCTCTCACACACACAACAAACAAATTTTGCATGATCAAAGACATTCAACGACATGGAATTTGTGTGCAGCTCATTTAGAAACAAGGTACTCCGGACTAATATCGCACGTGAGCAGTTGCTTATTTAGGTGTGGAAATCATTTGACATTAACTTCCTAGTTCGGCAACATGGACAATATTCACTGATCCGTGCATTTTATCATGGATCATTACCAATAAATAACGTAAACGAGCACGAATCTCTCGGTCCTGTTTTTACCAAGGAACAATCATTAGCATTCTTTTGCTCTCCGTGAAAAAATATCTTCAATGTAAAATCGTTCACACTCTTGACATTTTTGTACAAAGCCGGCTGAGCAAAACGGTTCCCGTGTACGCAGTCAGTACACGACGAGTACGAGGTGCAAACAGATCATCGGGCAAGGAAAACCGTGAACTGTAATCTGTGGTGAATATTGTTCCGTGTGGTTGCAACTCACACACAGAATCAAGTATCAATACAGCTGAGAGAACAAGTCACAAGGAGGGCAATGATTTTCTAAGACTACAAATGTTGTTTTAAACAGCAGCAGAAGCAATTTTGATCGTTTACGAGCTGCCTTTGGTGATGACGTGGCTTCGAGAATCATTGTGTTTGAGTGGTTTGGTTGCGGATTTAAACCATAGCAAACGGTTCCTGGATGATGAGACACGCTGTCGTCGACCTGTGGAGGCTACCACAGTGTGCAACATTGCTGCTATGCAAGCGATGATGGAGAAGGATGCGCCGGTGACGTCAGTAATGATGAAATTGGCATGATGAAGCGCTGCCTCAGAAATTCTGACCCAAGCGCAGTGTTACAAAGCAGATCGTGGCTGTGTTCATGTCCAAAACCGGTCATGTGGCTTCTGTAGCGCTCGTACAGCAAAGCAGAGTCACCGGAGACTGGAAAACTACCCACTGTCCGCCTGAAGTTGTGGAAGATATTGCCGGGCGTCTTCTAGGGAATCGAGCAAGAGTGACCTTGTACACACAGGTCGTCGTCGGTTTTCTGGCTGGAGAACGCATCCACGAGGTTGGTCACCCATACCTCAGTCCCGGTAACTTCTTTGTGTTCCCAAATGTCGAGCGTATGATACATGGAATCTAATTCGAGTCGCCAAGAGCTGCAGTGGAGGCTTTTAATGAACTGGTCGAAGGATTACCCGCTTCGGTATGGTTGGGCTGTTTCACCAAATTGTTCGAGCCCACGGACATGTGCATGCATGAACACTGATGGAGAATATTTCGAGAAAATGTATATAATGCGCATTTTTGTGTAACAAGTAAATTTTTTTGTGCATCCAGAAACGTTGTGCTCAGACCTTGTAACAGTGGGATGATAACCGGTTTTGTCATTTTAAATATTTCTTTTTTTCAAATACGACTAACTTGAAATAAAATAACTAACAGTCTTTTATCTGGAATTAGCTCTATTAAATAATTGAAGTATTCATAGACAAAAGTCTATGTTAGGTAACTTAAATCCACAAATACGTTGAAGGAATGCGATGTCTATTATATCAAATTCGAAATCTTTGCTAGTTTCCGACTTCAAAATATGTAAAGTTTATTATCTCAGTTTCCACAGTCTGCGCAAATATGTTAGTAGTAAAAATTCCGAATCCTCCTATACTTTAATTTGAGAATCCTTGCAGACCCAAGATACCCCTAGTACAACAAAATTATTATGTTGTCGTTCCCACCCAACCACACCCTCTGAACTGTGACACGTTCAGTCTCGAACAAGCAGACAAAACCGGTTCCTCAGAACAAATAAACTACGTCTTAAACTTGAAAAATTAGGAAGTTTTATGCAATCTCTGTGAATCGTTTTTAGAGTGTGCTCGCCGCGTTTTGACGGTGGTCATCGAAGGCAGTTTCAATTGAGATGCAAGCTTGTAAAATATAACATATCAATCCAATCCAGTAAGATTGATACAATACTGTCCGGTACCATCTTGGTGTCATACGGCGTACATTCTCTAATAAGCACAGACTATTGCATCTAAACTCATCTCTTCACCCATTTATTGCATTCCATGTTCTCCTCATCCCGATCCATTAGGTCTTGGTGTGGAATTAGTCAGCCGCATTTTTGTCCAATCCGTGGATGAAGGTGGTCTGGGAGAGTGTTCCGGATTACGGTCCGGAGATCGATTGGTCTCTCTGAACGGGATCAATGCAGCTCATTTGAGTCTTGTGGATACGGCCAATATGCTTCGACGTCAGGAAACAGTGATCGAAGTGGCTCGTGATCCGACTATTGATCCTCCCCTGGCGGACACAGTTGAACCGAACGAGCAGCAGCAGCAGCAGAGCGGGGGCTACGCGAAACCCCATCCACATTTTGTAAGGAAACAGAGAAAACATCGTGATCGATATCGACCACGGCCATTCGCACGTTCGGTAAACGACCTGCAGTTTTCTTCGTTACGAAAACTGCCACATGATGCGATACCGGTCTGTCGACAATGCTCGGCTACCTATTCCCTTGATGAAGGTGAGAAATACCAAATAAAACAACAGAGTGACGAAGAAGCTCGTTTTCAGAAATCTGGTATTCATGCCAATACATCTCAACATAACTTATTACTTGGAGATAAAATTTCCTTAGGGAAATCAAATCAAATCGCATAATACTAGAAACGATTTCATCATGAGACGGAAAATCGGATTCACCACGATCAAATAGTTGTTTGTCCACTCATCCGTCCATCGTGATACGGTGTGGTTGGGGTGGATAGGCCGGGAAAGCTTCAGGGCTTACACAAATTGTTTTGGGGCACCCAGTGGAGGGTCTTACAGAGGAATGCCCACCGCTTCTACCGTGGCCAGCATTCGACAGTGAACCTGCCTCGATAATCGCCTACGAACCTTATACAGGGAGCAGGAAGCCTCGGTCACGTCCACAGTGTGATTTGTTTCAGTCAAGTGTGAAACCACTGCACTGGTGAATGACTTATTCGTTCCGGTTTTCAGACACGAGGAGTTGTATTCACGAATCAGTTCGGATAATCACCTTACCGTACTGCCTATATACGTTGTCCCACAGAAAAAAGTAGATGAGTATGCACAGAATGAAACCGTAGAGTTTGGAACTTTGTCCTTAAGTCGCACACACACAATTGGCTTGGACGTGAACGACACACGAAGTTTGGATTCATCGAAAATCTTATCGACTGCGTCGAATAACCTTCTTTGTAATTATCTCAACTCTCTTGGAACAGCAAAGAAATGTGCAAGGATTTTTTTCCCAACCTCGGTGTTTTTTAAAAAGGTTTTCGTGGACCAATCCATTTTGTTAACTAAAAGCTCCGGATACCCGTTATATGCAAACATGGATTTTTTAGTACGGAGCTCTTTTTCTAGCGTGTTCTCACTGCATATCTTTCTTGCCCTATCCGCTAGGCAACGAACTGGGTTGCTTTTTACCTTAAGTGGCACAAAGCTTCGGAAATGAATGCATTGGTCTTTCCAAGTTGGCCTTCTATACACAGAACGTTGCATCGAACCTTCTGCTCGACGGATGATACAGACATCTAAGAAGGGGCAGTTTGTTGTTACACTCCATTTCTAAAGTGAATGTTATCTTGGGAGTCGCAGCGTTGAACCTGTTCAATGGTTCCGTTGTGTTCAATGTTGCGTTGATCACAATAACTGTCATCTACGTATCGCGTGTACAGTAGACAGCCTTCAGTGGATGACTATAATTGAATATGTCGGCAAAAAGCGGTCCCGACGTAGACCCCATGGTCCTGCCATCCATTTATCAATAGATCTCATAGTTAAACTATACGTGCAGAAATACAGCAGTTGTTTAAGTCATCTAAACGGAGGCCGAGCTCTACTTTATTGGTTTGTACATAACTGCACAGGTATTCAATATTTCGCTAATAATAATAATAATAATAATAAAAAGATCGAGTGAACCACAAATAGAATAAATAATTGTTCTGATTTTGCATTATTCACATACGTTGTGTGGCCAAAATTTGAGTTCACTGGAAATCTTTGCAACCAAAGAGCTAGAAAGACGGTATGAGGTATGGGATAGTAGCAACGGATAAAGGAATGGGAACTCATGGCTTCTGGTTTCAGCACTCTAAACGGGACATCTTGAAATGCCCTCAGAGTGGAGGTTTTCCTGATTCCCATTAATTTATAATAAGTCATAATACCGAACCTTATGAAACCGGCAAAAGATAGACATATCACCGTTTCAAGTTAATTTGTGGTTTGCAAAAAGAATTACTAGCTGAGTCGTTTTATTGCACACCGAACAAACTAAACCAGATTTTACGTGTGGTCGGTCAGGTCCGAATTTCTTGTGCCCGATCTGTTCAATGTTGCCCAGACTGATTACACAAGGGATTGTGTAATTGAGTAGTAAAACCTTTCAGCTAACCATGTATCTCAAAATTTCGATTCTTCAGAAGGTACTCTTGATATAAAGTTTCTAAGTGCACCGGACACAAATCTCAGTCGGGAAGGGAATCACAGGCGTTTATGCATCAGCTTGAACCAATTAGATTGCCTCTGTCCGGTTTGCAAAACAAAAGTCTCATACGGACCAATCTGGAAAAAACAGTTGATGCAGTAAAACAAACGATCAATCCAAACAACACTTTCCAATACAATTTAGGTTTTCACTATCCAAACTGTAACGCAGCTGTGGAAAAAAACATCAAAACAGCGGCATAGGGAAGCAGAGCTGTCTCGAATCCATGGATCATTATTCGGGGGTTTCAAATAGAACAAAGAGTGCGAAAGAAGCTCGTTTTCAGTGATTTGTAGTCACGCCAAAAAATCACAATAAATGTCACGATATTTCTCTGCATGCGTATCACTCGGTATTCCACAATAAAAATCAAGCAATTGTTTTAGGAAAGGGAAAATGAATGTCATAGGTTAGCTGGAACTAATTTCGTTTTATAACCGGATATGGAATTCCCAATGATCGACAGATTCTGGATATTTATAATTCACCGTACCACGCACTTGCAAAATGCTTAGCGGAATTACTAGACCCAGTTAGAATTGGATTAGCGACATACAGTGTACGAGGCTCACGTTTTATGTTTTCCGTCTTAAATCACTTTCTCTATCCCAAACCATCTCATTAGGCATTTTGTTTTTGCTTGCGTTTTGCCCCACCGGCTTTATTGGTCCACTGTTAACTTCCCTGGTCTTTTTAACAAGGACCTCAAACTCATTTCCCGATCCCTCAAGTTTCTATCGGTATGTAGTCTCATACTACGGGAACATCTGGTACAGTATATAGTCACACATCACATCAAGTCCTGTAAAACATTCTCCAACAAGATTTTATCTGATATTTCCCATCCTCTTTATTTCGCCCTCAGTCAGTGTCTTTCTTACTCATCCACCCGTTCCATTCACGAACGGGTATAAAGACACACATTGAAGCTTACATGCGCTCTATGGTCTCGTATCTCGCCAGATTTCTAACGAACCACATACTCGTTGCAGCANGTTTTCCGTCTTAAATCACTTTCTCTATCCCAAACCATCTCATTAGGCATTTTGTTTTTGCTTGCGTTTTGCCCCACCGGCTTTATTGGTCCACTGTTAACTTCCCTGGTCTTTTTAACAAGGACCTCAAACTCATTTCCCGATCCCTCAAGTTTCTATCGGTATGTAGTCTCATACTACGGGAACATCTGGTACAGTATATAGTCACACATCACATCAAGTCCTGTAAAACATTCTCCAACAAGATTTTATCTGATATTTCCCATCCTCTTTATTTCGCCCTCAGTCAGTGTCTTTCTTACTCATCCACCCGTTCCATTCACGAACGGGTATAAAGACACACATTGAAGCTTACATGCGCTCTATGGTCTCGTATCTCGCCAGATTTCTAACGAACCACATACTCGTTGCAGCAAATCTGCGCAAAATGCTAGACTAAATCAATCATAAACACCTAGGTATGCCATGATGTTGCTGTCCGTTTTCACGTCTTTTAATTTTTGCACTATAATGGTTTTTTTTCACTTTTTGTTGACACGCAGTGGTTATGTGGTTGCTCACTATCCACTTTTCGAGGTGTATAAAGCGACTCCTTGATTTGACTTCAGACACGTTCACTATCATAAACAGCATTCGTGACTTAAACCTGAGTGGTTGAATAATGTTCTCACTGGACGTTAGTTTGCTTTTCATCAATATTCCAATCAGTGAAACCATCGAATACCTGTACAGTTATGTATAAAGTTGAGATAGGCCTTCTTTTGGAAGACCAGAAATAACTGCTTTATTTTTACACACACACACACGAAGTCCAATTTAAGCCTGACGAGTAGGTCTGTTGACAAAAGATTGTGTGGCCATGGGATCAACTCTAGGATCATTGTTTGTCGATGTGCTCATTGTGAAACTCGAAAATAACCAACTCAAATCCTCCCTTCGGGATTGTGCGCTATGCACACGATGTGGATGGTATTCTGTACGTGATCAACACGAAATCAGGAACAAACGAGCTACTGAGCAAGTTCAATGCTGCTCACCAGAGCATAAGATTCACTTTAGAAATGGAAAACGGCAACAAACTGGCATGTCTAGATGACTGTCTGAAGCGTAGATCATCGAGTGGCTCGGTGAAACCATCAGTGCGTAGGAAGGTAATTTGGAAGGGTCAATATATCCATTTTCGCGGCTTTATACTGCTCAAAGTGAACAGAAATTCGTTGCGCTGTCTAGCAGATAGAGCAGGGAAGATTTGTAGTGAGGACACCATAAAAGAAGAGCTTCGGTTCTTACGCACCATTTTCACATACAATAGCTATCCGGAACGACCAGTTAGCAAGATGATTCGGTGCAGTGGTGATATTGTGAAGAAAACCGAGGTCTGAAAGAAGTCGATATACATTACCTTGCCATTCAAGGGGGATACATCAGCAGAAGTAATACAAAGGAGACTATCCGATGCTGTTAGTAAGCCCTTCTATGCAGCAAAGCTGAAAGTTTTATTCACGTTTCAGTCAATTATGTGTTTGCGACTGAAAGACAAACTGCCGAATTCTCCCCTCTCATTTTATGTGTACTCATTTATTCGTTTCTGTGGAACAACGTACATAGCCGCACGGTAAGTCGATTGTCCTAACGGATTCGTGAACACCGTCATGCATGGCCGAACACGGGAACGATTAAGTCACTCACCAGTGCATTGGTTTCCCACCTACCTAAAACGAATCACACTGTGAATGCAGCTGAGGCTTTCCGCTCCCTGTATAAAGTTCATGTCGGACTATCGAGGCAAGTTCGTTGTCGAATGCTGACCACAGAAGAAGCGGTGGGCATGCGTCTGCACACACCCCCCGGTATGCCCAAAAACAATTTGTGCAGGCGCTTAAGCGTCCCTCGCCCACTCCACCCCACACACTCTATATCCCGAGTAATGCCAACCATCGGTTGACCTAACAATTATATAATCGGTGAGAATCCCACATTCGATCCGAAGATGAAATTAACCCCAAATAACCTATAATGTCCATTTTATATTTGAATACTGATGCATATATAAATAGCGTGATATTAATTGCATGACTACAAATCACTGAAAACGAGCTTGTTTGCCATTGTTTGTTCTATGGGATTGTTTAAGCAATTGGGAG